ATTCAGAAAGAGTGCATATGAAATTCTAATCACGAAAGGTGTTCCCCGAGGGGATACATACCTACTGTTTGTTTTGTGAAGCACGTCAATTCTCTCCTGGGGAACGTCTTCGTGAGCCTCTTATGGTTTCAGGATAGTTCAAATCCTATGATGCCAATGCTCACCGATTATCTGAGCCATGGGGCAAGTTTGTTTTCCTAAGAATCTTTTTGAACATTTCGAGAGCATATGTTTGAACATTTAGAGTGCATATGAACTTATATTTACGAAAGGTCGCCTCCGAGGGGATAAATCACCATGTCGAACATTGCATTTTTGTTCCTGCCTCTCGCGTTCTCTTCTCTTCCCGCTGTCCTACCTTTCGTGTCTCCCTCCTCTCAAGTCAGATTCAAGAGGCTTGGATTGGGCTAGAATTGGCGCCAGGTCCTGGGACAAATGTTGATTCTTGGATTTTTTTTTAAAGAATTAAGCTGAGCCCGGCCCAGGCTGTTTGTGGCAATTTCCTGCCTTCTCCTAGCGCAATGCACACAGGCTGGAGCAAGGATTGACCAGCTGAGATGCAGGGTTGGCACAAAAGTTGCAAGCTTTGCCCTTGGCATTCACATGGCTTGAACTTTGCTATCAGACCTTCGTGTCAAGCATTTCCAATAGCATCTTGGCAGCATTTGAAGAGAGAGGCTCACAGCCAGCAAGAGGGTGAGAGCGGGAGCTTCGGTTTCGTTGTTTTTGTTTTAGAAGTTTAGCAGGGCTAACGGCTAACAGTGTAACTGTGTATTGATAATGACATATAATTAATGCTTCATGGTTTAGACAAACAAGTGTGCTGCATTTATGTTTGGTCCTGTCGCATGCTGTTCTGGCTGAAGGGTCCACCAGTGGCCGAGCCGGGGCACCGCGAGCCGTAACGTGCTCGCCCTTGAAAGAGGGTGCCCAGTTAGATTTTTAGGCGACCTTTAGAACCTTACAGATGATTCCAATCGAGCCTCGTTTGAAACCCCTGAGCGCTACAATCCTCCACTATGCTGACGCAGGCAAGGAGAAGTTCCAGCGTTCTCACTCCTTCAGCGGTTATGTTCCGTACTACTTTCTGAGTGATGCAGACCTTGGCGCTCAAGAGACCAACTGTTCCGGCGGCTCCTTGGCTGAGACTGACATTGAGGCAGACACCGCAACTCCAGTGTGGCCACATACAGATGAGGAAGACCTTGACCACGCTCCTCCCTTCCATGCTTCCGCCACATCTGAGAGCAGCGAAGAGAAGCGTCTCAGCAATCTTCAGGCTTGGAGCGCAACCCCTTATGCCTGGGCCTGGACAGGGTCTCGGCCAGCACCCATCGGAGAGAAGATCATTGAGGGATTTGGACGTGCCTTGCGAAAGGCCGTGGGAGAGACCTTCACAGAAAACCAGATGAATCATGGTGAATCGTGCTTTCACTCCAGTGAAGTATGTAACATTGAAGATTTCATTTGGAGCTTGCACAGGGATGCCGCCTGCCGACCAGTGTACTTTGTTTACGCCTTTGTGTACATGTGCCGTATGTCTGAGTTGAATGCTGGAGTGGTAGAGTTGAGCCCCTACACGGTCCGTCGATTGCTCCTTGCAGCAATCACCATCACAGCAAAGATGCAGGAGCCGGACCTTGATGCGACTTGCTATGCCGAAGCAGGACGTGTGACTTTAGTTGAGCTTGAACATCTCGAGGCAAACTTCTTGGAGCTGTTGCAGTGGAATGTAGATGTTTGCACGAAGAGTTTCAAGCGGATTTTCCGCCTCCTTAGCCAAGCGGCTGTATAGAGGCTCAATCAAGACTATCGTTTTAGTGATAGAATGTGGTTCTCGGTGATTCTCTTAGCGATTCAGGGATGGGTGCTCATGGAATGGAAGCAAAAGAATCGCAGCGTGATACAGGTGACTTGCATAGCTCACAAGTTAAGACCTACAGACGGAGTCCAACATTGCAATCATTTCGACAGCACAAGAGCTGCATGTTGGGGATTCTTCCTCTGAGACACATGGCATGAGGCTTGGCCTCCCTGCCGCAAAGACAGGTTGGGACCTGAGCAGAGAGAAACGAATTAGCAACATACAGTACATTACACGGTGCTGAGATACAATGCTTGCATTAAGTGCAGCACTTGTCCTTATTACTTGGTGTTGGCTCTCATAGGGCCAGAATACTTGTTTAATTTTTGTTTATTTGTTCATGGGCAGCACACCTATATAGCACACCGACTGCAAACCCGAAGGGGATTTTTTTTCGCTTTGCATCATTCAGAGATTCCCTCATCTCACCAATCCGCCTTGACATATTCCATGACATTCCTACACATCAGGAACAGCTTTTGAGACGTTTCAGGCGCACATCAGGAGTGCCAACAAAAAAGAAGGGGTCAACGTAGGGGTGCTTAAAACGGGCCGAGAGACTTCTGGGCGAAAGAGCTTCACTGCAGTTCGCAAGCACGTGCTTGATCGGCTTGATCGCTTTGGCTATGGTTGTTTTGTAAGTTTGTCATAGGACCTTGCGGTCACGGTGGATGAGATTCTTCCATGTGCAAAGGTTCCAGTTCATGGAGACGTGAGACCTCTAAGGTGCCCCAACTGGAGCTGGAGGTGGAAGAGGATGAAGTGCGGAAAGCATCAGAGAGACTTGGGTGCATGAGACCCTGTCACCACAAGCGTCGCGTGCACGTGTTTTTGAGCTTTCCTTGCCTTTGCTATACCTTTCGGCATCTTTCAGCCAAGGGAACGCTGGGGTGGGTGCATGCCTCAAATCCAGCTTTGTGCATTGGATCAGGCATGAGTCATGAGGGATCACATAGCTGCCAAGGTCCACGAAAGGATGGTCGCACACTCAATAGAAACTCCCGTAAGCAACTGACTGTCACGATCAGATATAATTAATCAGATACTGTGCATTTTTGTGGCACTTGTTGCTGAGTGTAGCTATGCAAAACATTGTAACGTAAAAGTGGCAGGGCGTGACCACATATAACTCCTCAAGTGTTTTGGTGATATATACATTATATATATATGTACACATATCAGTGGCTTTGTGGGAAAGTGTGTCGTTTTTCTTCCGCGTTGTTTCTTTCATTATTTAAAAAAGAAAGCTCCTTGTCGTTTCCAAGGCTCCGAATCCTTGGAATTGGTGTTTTTGGCCTTGCCTTCCTCCTGATTTTCATCCTCATTTTAGGAGGCCAGTTGGCACTCACAAGTCAATTGGAAAATAGTGGAAAGGATACAGAACAGTACAGCTGCAAATCACACTCCTCCAAATTCCTTTTGGTTGTGTTTCATACTGTGCTGTGCTCAGTCGTTTTTGGGAGCAGTGAGTGTATGGTGGATAGGCGATGAGTAGCAAAGAATTGTTTGCTGTGAATTTCAGGCTTGCGCTGGTGCCAGTAGTTTACAGTTTACAGATGATCAAAGAGCAATAAGAACACAGAGATTGTCAGCCTTGAAACAGCTTCAAGGTGGCTATGTGCCCAGCTGGCTGCGACCCTTGCTTCAAGCAATTGACTTCTAGGAATGGACTCAAAAGAGAAGTCAGTGAAGCAGTGGAGTACACAATCAGAGTGGCTCACCCAGGCATTGAGAGTGGCTTATATAATTGAATTTTGACAGACAGAGACACGCGTTTTGTAATGTTTTTTTGCTGGCATCCTGCTCAAATACCTTCAGCTTGCTTCTTTTGTAGCCATGACACCCATCTACCTTGCAAAAGGAACATGCAATGTTGCAAGAATTCGCACGAACAAAGCGAGCATGCACGACTAGCTGACAGCAGCACTGCTATATCGGACCACCTGCAAACACCCTTACAGCGTGCAAAACCAGAATTGAATTGCACAGACAACTAACCTGACCAAAGACGGGGGCGAGTGCCATTCGGACCACGACTCCCGCGCGGCATTCTTGTTTGGGCTGCTCGTATGAATTATCTCAAATAATCTCAATCAAAACCCACAACAAGAATGTATGGTTTGGCTGATTCAGTCCGCAGGGGATGAGCAACAAGCCCAAACGGCCGAAGTACGAGACAGTCTCGTGACCACAGGATGCACTCGCAAATGTGATCCAGTTTTTTGGGACACCAATGAAGAAAAGCTGCTTGACTTTGCATTCTTGCCGTCATACTTTGGCCGCTGTAGCTGTTGTCACTATCGTCCGAGCAAGTAGCCAGCCAGCGCACATTGCTCCAGGTACACGCCGCCCACACCCCAAGTTTTTGGCAACGCCGCACCTGTGGATTTGCCCACGTGGCCCTGGCGATTTTGGGTCGTACCGTAGTACCGTACCCTACCCAGTTGAGCGTCATGTCGCCAAAGGTCAGAAAGATGTCCTGACTTAATTACTGTGAGTATATATATATACTTTGTGTGATGGGTGTGCCTTCACACGACTCACTGTGTGATGGGAGGACCTAGTAGCGTCCTTGCTCCTAGTAGCGATGCCCTTTGTTCCTAGTAGCTTCTTGCTCCTAGTATATAGTAGGGAGTAGCGTCCTTGCTACTTTGCTAGGAAATTTTTCACTGTGGCTGCAATTCCTTATGCCAGGAAGTCTTCTGGCAGTTCGTCCTTCAGTGTAGATCGGCCGAGGAGGGCTGGAGCGTGCCAGCGTTTCCCACCGTGTTTTTTGGTCAACTGAGTTTTTCAATTCACGGGAGCGGTCTTTGCCAAGAGTTTTCACGAAAGGTAGCTTCAGCTACCAGTTCTCCTTGCTTTAGCAAAAAGTATTACAATCTGGAGTTGGGATTGTGGATGAGTTTGGCTCTGTGAGGAAAGATTTTTCATCATAGGGGGGGCCCCCTGAATCAAATCCCCCTGCTGCACCTCATCGGTTTGCGTTTCGCCGGCTACAGAACGTGGGATTTTGGGGGGTGCCTCATTGGTGCCTTTGCGCCTTGCCTGCTACCTTTCATTCACCATCATTCACCCCCTCCTCTCTCAAGTTCAATTCGCGGGAGCGGTCTTTGCCAAGAGTTCTGTCAGAATGTGGAGATTGGAAGAGGTCCGAACCAAAGGAATTTTTGTGGACATTTTCCATCATTTGCAAACTGTTCGATCCGGTCTGTTTTTTGTGATCAGTTGGGTGGGTCAAGACCTGCCAGTTGTTGGTATTTGATGAAGAATTGCTGGTCCGAAAGCCTTGCCAGGAACCGGCCCAAACTTCAAGACCGCTTGGCGGTGTATGAGGAGCCCAGACCATGAGCGATGAGGAAGCAAGGCAATGCGCCAGGCACTTCTTCTTCTTCTTCCATGCCATGTGCGTTCTTGTAGATGTTTTGAAACCAGATTTGGCCCCACCGTATGAGAAACTATTTGTATGGTTTCAAAAAGCCGCACATGTGTAAGTACTGCGAGCTGGGTTCTATTCATCCGGAGGCTGGAGGCTTCACGCACTGGCGTGAGAATCGAGCCTTTGTCAATCCTCCAGGATGACAATCCTCGATGTCAACAAATCATTTGTGCAGTGGGCGTGCTTTTCCCACCTCTTTGGCTGGTGGGCGCAGTCATGTGCCCTGAAATAAGTCAACTGCCTTGACAAGTCCATGCCATCAATGAAGAAGTCTTAACTTGTCTTAACATCATCATACAGCATCATCTACATTTTGTTCGTGAAAGAATGTGCACCTCATGCTTTTTCTGGGGAATGCTTGTGAATTTTGTTTTGCAGAGCTAGCAGGGAAGAACACAATAAAGTCAGGCCGGCAGGGCGCAAGCAGGGCAGCAAGCAAGCAAGCAAGCAAGGCAAGCCAGCCAGCCAGCCAAGCAGCCAGACACCCAGGACGGACAAAAGGCAAACTGAGACCAGAAAAAACAAACAGAGAACAGATGACATCGGCTGAGAACCAGCTAGAGTCTAGAGGCACCCTCCAGCCTGCGCATTTCAACGCTGCAAGGTACGGATTAGAGCCATGGTCAGAGCACCACCGCTCATTTGCAGAATGCAGCAAGACACGCACAGAGGGCTTCTCAAAAACAAAAACAGTGGACAAGGAGCTCCCAAAGTAGAAACCAATACGGCAGCAACAAAAAGCAGTGAAACGAACTCTAGCACAAGGCCAGGCTAGGAAACAGTGCATGGAAAGACACTCGAGTTGATTCAAGAAACAATAGCATCACAGCCATTCCCGGCAAGGTGGACTGAATGAAAATGTTTGAGGTATTGGCAGGGTCCCCTGTGCCCGAACCAAGTCAGATTGAATTTCTCCCAGGTACGCGACAACGCCTGCTTCGAAGACTGCGTCTCGGGAGGCGTTTTATCCCCACAACAGCTTTCACGATGCCTGATGCTTAAAACTCTCAAAGAACACGAGCCTACATGTCAGGCAGGCTTCAAGAACTTGGTTTTGACGATCATCCTCACAGTTCTGCCGCTGAGATGTAAAGACCGGAGGAATCAATTGCAACCAAGATGTGATAATGTTTGGAGTTCAGACTAGGCCGTGTTTGCAGCCAGCAGCACGTTCCTTCACATGAGCGACGTCACAACGTTTTCACCTACAAGTATTTACTGTAAATTGCTATGTATGCTGGACCACCTGGTCTCAAAGAGGGAAACATGATGAAACAAAGCGCGTGGTGTGCAATTTGCCGCATGTCCAAATGGAACATGGATTTGTGTCCCTGCTTGAACTTCTTGAATCGATTTGCTGCTCCTGGGAAGCCAAGGCTGTTGGCGGTTGGTGTGTACAAGTTTGTTGGCTCAGGCGCAGCACGGTGAGGTCACTTACAAAAATCATATATACTGCAATCCCTAAGATTCAAATTGGAAGAAAGTAGAAGAACGATACCCCAACAAAGTTCAACCAACACTTTGGGAGGCTAAATCACAAATCCAAAAATTGGTCAAGCAAACATGAACAATATCAAATAACTGTTTAATCAAAAAAAAAAAACTTTACTTCGAGTGATCCCCACCGTGACATTTCAATCAGTTGTTTTCATGCCATAGTGAGGCACATGTTGCCATGGCCGGGAGAGTTTTGCTTGTTTTTCGATGCAATCTGGCTCTTGAGGTTGACGTCCAGTAGTCCCCACTGCAATTTGGCGCTTGCCCCGGTAGTGCCCATTGCGATCTGGCACTTGCTGTTGAGGTCCGGTAGTGCCCACTGCGATCTGGCACTTGCTGTTGAGGTCCGGTAGTGCCCACTGCGATCTGGCACTTGCTGTTGGGGCCCGGTAGTGCCCACTGCGATCTGGCGCTTGCGGTTAAGGTCCGGCGCGATCTGGCACTTGCTGTTGAGGTCCGGTACTTGCTGTTGGGGTCCGGTAGTGCCCATCTGGCACTTGCTGTTGAGGCTCGGTAGTACCAACTGCGATCGGTAGTGCCCACCGTGATCTGGCACTTGCTGTTGAGGCCCAGTAGTCACCACTGCGATCTGGCACTTGCGGCTGACATCCGGTAGTGCCCAGTGCCCCTAAGCTGTGTGAGCACGAGCTCTAGGGTCCAACAGCACTTCTGAGGGGCCTGCTAAAAGTGATGAAAGGCCGGCATCGTCCACGCACACGCCCTCCACAACGGGCATTTTGAGCTGGTCAGCCAGTCCAGCTGCCAGCCTCCAAACTGAGAAAGATGTTTTGGAAGTGAATTCAGTCATGGTCCATGCATATGTCTATTGACAAAGGGCCTGTTGAGCTGGTCTCAAAATTGAACCGGATGTTTTTGGGAGTGCTTCATCCCCGTCTGTACGGCAAGTATTTTTCCTGTAGCTGCACTCATCTAATTATTACAGTATCCGATTCCTATGCAAAAATAAGGATTTTATCTTGGAGCCAATGCAGGATCCAATAGCAAATAACAAAGGATGAACAGCATTTCATACAAACTACGTCTGCAGGATTGAAAAAGACCACCATTTCAGGATTTTCTAGGAAACCAAAGAAACTGGAGCACTGAATAATATATAAAGCCTTGATGATGATGACATCTTTGACATCTATCACTGTGCTTGCGTTCGTCGTGCTTTGAACACGTGACAGAAAAAGATTACACATTCAAACACGTAATGTAAAATACAATAACTAAAAGCAGCTAAAGACGATGTTGACACAACTACAAGAGTACCTCAACCGATAGTGATGATAGCTCTTTCATCTCTTTCAGTGCACTCGTGTTTACAACACAGGACAGCAAAAATAAGACTCATCAAGGCAAACTCACACTCTCTGCACACAAGTCGGCCACCACACTTCAAACACAGGACAGAAAAACATAAAACACCTGAAATGACACGCAAATATGAAACACATCAAGACGCACCCTCTGAACCCCAGTCTGTTCGTTCTCTTTCAGCACCTGCAAGCAAAGGCGCCAGAAAAAATAGCTTGGTTGTATTCAAAGGTTCCTTCGTTATACCCGAATCGTCACTCAAACGCCTGCCATCTACAATCTAAACCTTTATTCAAGATCATCAATATCCAGGAAAAAGCAACACTAACCAATGTCTTTAACATCTTTCACTGGATTATCTGGATACGTATTCTTAGCTGGCCACCCAAAACGCATTGTTTTTCATTTGTACGCACGTGTCGATTCGAAACGACGTGGCCATGACTCATGCATCTGCAGCACGGTAAAAGCTGCAATTCCGTTGAGTGTGTCTATTCCCCTCGTTCCATTTTGGAACAAAGGACTTCGACAGCTTCCTCAAATGGGTTCTGCTGCCAGCTTGCCTTTAAACGCACTGTGATAAGAAACAAACTTTTGGGATCTTGTGGATCTTGTTCCAAGAATTCAACGACTCAATCGTCAAACCCGAATGATCAGTCAAGCAGCAATACCGACGCCCCTTTTTCAAGATCTTCCAGAAAGATCAGAAGCATCGCCCATGAAAAAGCCCATGAAAAACAACATGACCCAATGTCATGCACATGTTCGGGCAAGCCACTGCATCGGCCTAAAGGTCGAGCCTATCCACAGCCTTTTGGCCATCCTCTGTGAACTCCCATGGTCGCCAAACAACCTTTGGTGCAGAGGGAAACAGTTTAAAAAAATCCAGAGGCCAACATGATGGCCTCAGACAAGGTGCAAAACTATTATGGAATCCTGCGTTGAGGTTCTATGGATATCTTGGAAAAGACCAGCTCTCAGAGCTCATTTCCCGCAAAATTCCCCACCAATATGAGATTGTCTTTGTGACAGCCCTCCATGCTGTGGTTGATTACAGATGTGGTAGGGAGCCTACAAGGTCCGCAAGATGTCCAAATGATCCAATTGGTCAATCATGTCAATCCACACAATTGAGAGCTGACCAGGGTCGCTTGACAACCTTTGGAAAGAGCTTCCTGCAGGTACTTCCAAAAATTTAAACATTTTGGTTTGCACAGTCTCCCATGGAACAGGACAACAACTCATCTATTTGCGCGCTGCAACAGTCTTAGCGTGCGCCCAAAGAAAGAAGAAAGAATACTTCAAGAAATCTCAGGTTTAGAAAATCCTTCGCATACTTTCTTCGACCCTTCACAGAAAAATATAAATCCGGGTTGGAAATTTCGGTTAACTTTTTGTTCGTGGTTTCAAGTAGACTGGAACACAAGGATTTTACAGCATGTTTGGTCAGTTTGGCCCTTAAAACCATAACTTTTTGTATAGGATAATATAAACGGAGACCGTGTCTGACCATGTGCGTTTCAAGGGAAGTCTATATTATTGAGTGCTCCAGTCCAACCTGTCGTGCAGACGGGTATGTGCTTCAATCATTTTTGGAGTGAAAGCCTGCACCCACTCTTGACCGTTGAGGTCCGGCAGTGCCAACTACGATCTGGACTTGTTGTTGAGGTCCGGTAGTGCCCACTGCGATCTGGCACTTGCCGTTGTGGTCCGCAGTGCCCACTGCGATCGGGTAGTGCCCGATTTGGCGCTTGCAGTTGAAGTCCGGTGACCGCTAGTGCCTATATATTAGTAACTTTTGTTTATATTGATTGAGATGTAGGAATAGTAATTCTATATTTTTGCTTATATATTGTTGTTTGCTTAGAAGAACTCAATTAAATTCATATCTACTTATATATAAATATTTTTAATCGAATTATATTGAATAATTTTGCTAAAATTAAGAATCTAATATACTTATTGTAAATAGGTCCGTTGTTCTTAATAGTGGGTGATTACGGGAGAAGAGAATAGAAGATTTTAAGAGTGTAAAAGGAAAAGAAAAAGGTGATAGCGGAAGAAAAATAGATATAATAATTACGAAAGGTAATTTAATAAGGACTATTTTGAGTTTGTTTTGCGAAGCTTATTTATCCTTTTTTTTATATAATGATTTATTGATAATTTAATTATTACGAAAGCTAATATTAGTTAGCTGGAATTGGTCTTGCATTAGGAAATTAGGGGTTCGCAACCTCGAGAATTATGAATTATGTGATAATTTTACGTATAGGGGGGGATTTTCTCCTTTTTTTCCTTTAGGATTTAACTCTTTCCTGGGACGTTTTCGGTACGTATTATAATGTTATATTTAAGGGTTTAAAACTTTAATGATGAATATTATGGGAAATTAGAAATTAGGTATATTAGATATATGTGTTTTTGATTTTCTTTCGGTATCTTAATATATATAGCTGATATTTTATTCGACAAAGATAATATATGAATTAGGGGTATTTGATACGCTTGGTTTGTGATTTGCCGTGATTTAATTATTGGATCGTTATGTATATGGAATGAGGGATTGAAGAAAAGCAATTAGTGCGGATGCATCCCTGTTAATTTTTGTCATTTATTTTCGGCTTCAAATTTTGTATCTTTTTTCTTTTCTTTTCTTATTATTTTTTGTTTCTTCTTTTCTTTTCTTTTCTCTTTTTTTTTTTTCTTTGTTTTTGTCCGTAAATAGGCATAATTAGAGGTTATGTAATACGCACATTTGGTAACTTGATATACCGCATATTATATTTATAAATTATATTGTTCGATATTAACGAATATCGATGTAAGACAGCTTTTTTGCAAAGCCTTATGGAGAAATTTTGCGTTTCGCCGAATATTATTCGATTTAGCTTTATGTCGCGTGGCGACAATTTATCGTATAAATCCCCCCACCATAACGTAATATTTATCTTTGGTAGTAGTAGCGGCTTCGACGCAACGTATGTAGGAATATAATTTTGATATGGTGCGCGTGGCTGTAATATTATAATTGGTTAATGTGCGAACGGTTGTAATAATATTCTGATTGGTTTATGCGCGAGTGTTTACGTATTACGACGTTTGCGTACGTTTGGTTTTTGTATATTTTTATTTAAACGAGCGTCGAAGTGATGCAACCTCTTTGCGGAGTGGGGTGGCGTAATTTGATCGCAATGGTATTTTTTTGAGGCTTCTTGTGTTTTTTGGCTTTGGTGACTTTATTTATAATTGATTAAGGGAAACATTTCTGAAATTCCGGAGATAGAAAAAGGTGCCGATAACTACCCGGTCGCTATCCGGTCCGTTTCTACCTTTCGTATTTCTCTGCTTAACTCATAATATATAAATTACGAAAGCTAATAGTAAGTAGTTGTAATTATGTTTGTTTTAAGAAATGAAAGATTGGAATTTGTAAAATCGTCGCATTACGTGAAAAATTCATATATTATAAAATATATTTTTTATGTAATATATTTTGATGTATTTTTTGTGGAGATTTTCGGATACGATATGATAGATTTATAAATTAAGGTTGATTGTATTTTTTTTGTTATTTGTGTATTTTATATATTTATATATCTTTTTTTTGAATGAATTTACGAATTTTTATTTTATATATATATATATATTTATGTAATATATTTATGTAATCGAATAAACATATACGGATTGTTGACGTAAAATATTCGAAACAATCGGATTATTTCCTATATTTTCGTTTTCTATTTTTAGTGTTGGTTGTTTTTTATTTGATTTATGGTTTCCGTCGCGATTCGGGTCTTTTCTCGAAATAATTGGTTTGTTTTATATTTTTCGATTTTGAAATACAAAAATAATCC